TATATCAGAGAGTATTTTTATTCCTACTGCTTTACCTTTTCTAAATTTTACTCAGTGTGACCAGACAAGATTTTAATGTACAATAACTAATTTTAAAATATAAAATTTTAGTTAGATAGGAGGAATAAGTTCAAGAGATCTTTGTACAACATGATGACTATAGTTAACAACAATGTATTGCCTTCTTGAAAATTGCTGAGAGTAGATTTTAAGTATTCTCACCATAAAAAAGATATGTGAGGTAACGTGTATGTTAATTAGCTCAATTTAGCCATTATACAATGTATACATATTTCAGAACAACATGTACATGATAAACATATACAATTTTGTCAGTTAAAAAATTACAATATTTCTTGGATCGTGTAGTCACTGGTATTAATTTAACTCTTCTACTTGACTATATTAGACTCAGTATACAGGTGAACTGGGAGGATATATTCTACCTCTAGTACTGACTGACACCCATTCCTGTGGCCGCCTGCAAATTATCTAATGTTTGAGTGATTTATTCCCTTATTTTATAGAATACAGACAGCAATGCTTTCTGTCTACTGGACTTGAATTTCCATTTCAAAGATTATAAATTGAATAATAACATTGTTCCTTGAAAATATAAATTTTATATCTTTTAACACAATAAGACAGTTAAATCAGAGTAGGAGAAGAACCACCTAGGTAGACAGAGACATTGTAAGGATGGTATAGCACTGTGATAAACAGCATAGGCTTTGGAATCAGAGAGCCCTGAGTTAATTCTTAGTTCTGCCATTTATTATCCATGGGCAAACAATGTTACCTGCCTGAGCCTCAGTTTCCTCATCTGTAAATGGGTATAATAATATAAGCATAGGTTTTTATAAAGATTAAATGCACATGATGTTTTAGGACAGTAGTTGGCCCATAGTATGTTTGAAACAGATGATAGCATTTATTATTTTGTCCTGCACTGACTCATAGTTCAACTTTAAACAAAGTGCTAAATCCTTTAGTGTCTGCCTTTACAGCTTTATAAAAGAGATATCATCTCACATCTTCAGATGAAAGGGTACAGGGTAGAATTTAATTGATGCCTGTATGGTACTTTTGATTCCCCTAAGATTAGTTCTAAAATCTTAGAATTACTATTCTAAAGATCTCAGAAATTACCCACCCACACAGGCCATGAGGAGAAGGTTGGGCTTGCAGGTTCTGGCATGATTGGTGTCTCTGCAGCTCATTTTACTTTCTCAACCTCTTAAAACCCTCTCACTGCCTAATATAGTCATGTCAAACCTATTAAATTATGCCCGAATCTATGAAAGCATTCTTCACAATTCTCATCCATTATCTTTGACAAAACAGTATGTCCAAGGGCTTGTGCTTGAAGAACTTCTCAGTGCAGTTCCTCTAAACCCTAACCCTGACACAGTCATGAAACAAGCCAGAGAACCCATTTCACCACCTGCCATCTCAGAAGAACAGCTCCACAACTGCTCAACCCACCCATTTTCAAGCATTAAAGCCATCAGGCATGCTTATAAATCTCGGTGCTGATATTGAAGCTTATGATGGTGCTATTTTTTGTGAATGTTTCTATTTATTCCCTCTTTATGTTGAAGCAATGACAAATTTTTAGAGGAAAGCAGATAACAATGACAGAACAACAAAGGTCCATTAGACAGTTACAGTTATCATAGACCGATGAATTAGTTCCATGTAATGCTGTGCTAAGATGAACTTGATTTTAGCAATATAGCAAATGTTGTAATCCTTTATAGAAAACAGTGATGATGTAATTTAGGTATTATAATCTCCGTCACTGATTGCCTTTGAGATAGTGTGGAAAAGTTAGGTCACATGTTTATTTTGTGTAAATACAAAGACAGCTTTAAGAAAATTAAATAAGGGCAGCCAGTGTGTTCTTTAAAATGTTTTAAAAACTTACAAATGAAAGTAAATTTATAACACCACCCTTCCTTCCTCGTTATATATTAGTCATTATATTATGTGTTTCTTTGCTTATACACACCCATTTTCTCCATGTGTATATATGTGTGTATTTATGTTTTCCATTCCTCTGTGACAGTGTAAAGTTCCTAAAGACCCTATTTTTAGCTCCCCACACAAGGAAGACAATCTGTTACAGGGAAAAAAAGCACAGATTTTAAAGACAGAAAGAGTGAGGTCAGATTCTAAATGCAACACTTACTAAGCCTAGACAATCTCAGCCACAGTTACTCCATCTTTTTAAAGGCTTGATAATACTGACCATTTCTCAAAGTATTTTCAAAATTCAATGAAATAGCATTTTACAAAATACATAATATATAGTAGATACTAAACAGACAGTTTTCTTCCACACAGGACTTAGTAGACAATAAGAACTCACTAAAAGTTGTTTCCTAGATCAGGACAGATCTTGGTTGAAGAAGTGAGCATGTGTTAAACACTTGTAGCATGATCATGTAGCACCTCTGGGCCTGAACCTCACTGGAGTGTCCCTTCAGTATCACTGTTGACTAATTTCAGAGTGTAACATTGCTAGATTAGTTTGACACTGATGTTTTTTCTGTAAACAAACAGACTTTTAAGATCTAAATAAGATCACCCTCTGTTTGACACAAACTACCTAAACGTCTGTATCCTCCCTTCAGTTTCCCATACCTTCTGAAATTATCCTCTCCTTAATCATCACTATGTGGCATAAATGAGTACTCTGCTCTCTGGAGGGAAAGGTGACTAGCAAGAGAGTACCTCCCATTAAGATATAATTACACCAGTTTAAATAAAACACAGGGCTACCTCTTTTGACAACTGACCTATTTCATTTATGCTTTAATTTCTTTCAGCCTTACAAGTTCCACTCTTTTTTGTCTTTATGTATCAGTTCTTCTCAAACTTTAGTGTGAATAAGAATTATCTTGTGTAAATTTTTAAAATGTGATTCCCATGCCTCAACCAGAGATTCATTAGAGTTTCTGAGAGGGGAGCTGGACTTCTCTATTTTTAAATAGCACTCATTGACTATAATGTGGGGGGGTTCATGGGCCGCACTTGAGAGACAGTTCTTACCCTATTAGGTAAAAATTAAAGGTGTCCATTCTGTTTCATTTGAATATCATTCATTTCACCTTCATCTGTATTAATGTGTGTAGATGCTAATGCCTGTAAGTTCAGTCTTCTTACCCTTAATTCTTTTCAGTAGTTGCTGGTGAATGTAGTTAGTCTACACCTCCATCATCACCAATAAATATATATTTTTCTTTCCAGACTGCTTTCCTATAAATTTGTTACTGAAAAAGTTTTCATTTACCTTCTGCTCTGTGTGTGTGTTTATAAAATTCATATATTGATTTCTTTATGCTCAACAAATAGTAGAAAATAAGAAGTAGGGGAAAATTGAAGCAGAAGAATAATTATGTTTACTTGGTCCAAATTTTTTCTTACTCTTGAATTTAAAAAAGAAACTACTTATTCAGAACAGGTGCAGTGAGGGAAGAGACCATCAGAAATTTGGCTGAAGAGGAAGAAAGATGCTATTTGATAAAACTCCTCACCTATTTCTTGTATGCTTTCCCTGCTATGAACCAATGACCTTAAAGAGAAATTCTCTATTTACAACCCGTATTTCAATTACACCTCTTTCTTTAGAGCATTCCTGTTGGCACACTTACTCCAGGTGTGCACAGTAAACTTTATTCCTTTCCATACTAGCCCATTCTCTTAACAGCTTCAAGTCCACTCAAAAATAGTTGTGTTCTGCTTTTCATATAATCTTCAGATGAAAAAGTTGTTTCTGTTTGCTTGGTTTTTTGGTTTTTTTCCCTTGAGATGTAATTTCTATCTACTCTGAAGCAGGACTTTAAAAATTAAGCATATCTTTTGCTTTGAATTGGAGACTACACAGAAAAATTCACTTTAATACACATTAATAATCAAACTGCAGATTCACTCAGAACTATCATAGATCGGTAGAAGCTTTCTAGAAGAACTGCTTTCTATAGTAATAGTCTTAAAACCAATTACATAATCTGACTATTTTTCCCTGTTAAGTGAAAATCACAGATTCCATTGGAAATTTTATATTTTTCAAATTATTTTCTTCTCAAAGTGGAAATTAATCAAAAATAATATGCTAATATTTTAATCAGAGAAAATAAAATTTAATCTGAAGATAAAATTATTTCCATAGTCCAAACTAGTACACCGAAAGCTTATTACTGGTTAGTTTCTAACTTTGAAAGAAAACAACCTCAAAGTAATTATGACATCTGTTAGAGAAGTTTATTGTGGCCAGGCACATCATTGTATTTGCATCTAAAATCTGATCATAATAATTTAATCATACCATCTTCTCAAATTGTTTCTTATTCTTTTAAAATATCTATAATTTTTGTTTTTAATTTAAAAAAAAATTTTGGTGGCTGACCAGTACAGGGATCCAAACCCGTGACCTTGCAGTTGTAATGCCGCACTCTAATCAAATGCGCTAACCAGTCAGCCTAAATATTGATAATTTTCAATTTTAAACTACTTATAGAAATAAATCATTTTGATCTGCATGATTTCAAATTTATTTTTTCCCATCTATACCTTCTGAAATAAAAGTACTTTCTCAATAAGACAAGGTCCAAGCTAAACACATTCTATTCCTCTTGAAACAAACAAACAAAAAGACAGCTGTCAAAGTGTACCTTTACATTTTGTAGAATGCTCCTGAAAGTATACAGAAAAACACTGTGGATGGTACAGGAGAGGACAGGGAACACTAATATAGAAAGAATAGAGATCTGTTTCTTGGGCTGGCCAATTAGCTCAGGTAGTTAGAACATGATGCTGATAACACCAAGGTCCAGGGTTTAGTCTCTGTATTTCTTGACATAATTTCATGTAAAATCTCAAATATATTTCTCTACACTAAAAATGATAATAAACTGGAATTCTACACATTCTTTGGTATGGCTTATGCCATTTTAATCTATAAGTTACCTTCAGACAGAAAGGAAAAGGGAACTCACCGATACATTGCTGACCAGCAAGGAAGAGTCCTGTGGAGACCAAGGTCTGCAGTCAAGTATATACATCCAGCTCTATCAGTGACTTCCTGGGCTGGACTGAGATGAAGAAAGAAGTCCTGGTGATCTAAATAGAACCAGTCTGACAAGTCTTGGGTAGTGTGGTGGGGACTGTGTGACTAGCAGGACAAAGACAAATTTTATAGGGAGCAAGAGCAAAAATAATTTATAAGCACTTTCTAGGAGAGAAACTTAAATGCTATAGTCTTAAGATAGTTTTAAAAAAATATTAGTGTAAACCAGAATTTTTTGAAAAGTCAGATGTTCAAATCTAGAAAGAAATTTTAAAAACATCTTCTCAACCTCCTCATGTTTCCAGTGAAGAAACTGAGATTTGATTAAGTCAAATAACTTAGTTAAAATTACATAGTTAATGAACCACCAAACCAGGACTAACACCTGTATTTTTTAAGCTAATTTGGCATTTAATGAAAGTTTTCCTTTGGTATTAACTATAGTTCAGCTGTTGAAAATATATTAGAAATTAGAAAATCAATAACATCTTGAAATTTTGTGGAATCATTTTTCTAGAAAAGTCAAGTAATTTACAAATATTAACCCCCAACTGAGACAGTATATTTCTTTCATTATACTGGAGACAGACATATCAACTAACACTGAGTCACCATTGTCTTATTTCTGAAAAGTAAATAATACATATTATTTAAATGTATGTTAACGCCATATGCAAATATCTATGTGTTTGTGTCAGGTGTAATCTTTAAATTGCCTTATTTAATCCCATAAATCATATTAAGTGTTTCTCCTCTGTGCTTTCATGGTATCATAACACTTTCCTCATTATACTAGAATTTTTGTTTAATTGAATCTCAACTTCACTGGACTGTGCATTCTCAACAAAGAGGGACCTTATTTCTAGCATATATGGGCTCCCAAAAATATGCATGGAAAGGAGGGAGGGAAGAAGGTAGAAAGGGGTTGTGTGTGACCAGTCCTAAAAATCACCATAAAGAAAACAAATAAATATTTTACTGCATATCTGTTTAGCCAATGGCTCACCTTAACAGATGCAGAAGTTGGTATTCATTGTGAAGCATGATATTAGGCTGCCAAGAATTGAAATCACAGCAACCCAAGAAACGACTATGTTGGAGCATGCTGTACTTAGGACTAGAGACATATGCCCTTTCTATTCTGGTTACTATGTTACTTAACACTAATAAATATCATGTATGGTTATTTACTTGAAGTTTTTCAATATATAGTATCAGGTTTCTGTATACTCACTTGAAATGTATAGTTTAGCCAAAAATAAAGAGGCAACAATAACAATAAAAACTTTGGGTTATGAGATCAAGCTGTTTTTTTCATACAGCCTTTAAAAAGTGAAATGTCTGCCAATGAAATGAAAATATATCTTAATAATTATATTCAATTTTTACTCACATTCTGTGAAAATATAGATTATATTCTTGCTTTCAAAGGAAAACAGACTCCTACTCAGTGTAGCTTTGGGACAAGATTTGCCAGACTCATTTTAACAAAATCTCCTGACTTTTTTTTCCACAAAATCTAGATTCCAAATTCAAATAAATTTTTTATATGGGCCTATGGTCCTGTATACTTAGGTTTATGTATACTTTGAAATGTAGATGCAGAAAATGAGACAGCTTTCATTTTTTTAAAAAGCCTGAGTATGTGCTACAATTTCTAGAAAACCAGGGATTAAGGATATGTAAATAGAGAATAAGTGGATGTCAGCCTAAAGATATTGAAAGATAGTCATAAGTATGTCCTTATTTCCTATACTAATGGCCTTTGTTCAGGACACTCAAGGGATATTACAGTGCATGTCATCAAATTTCATGATATAGCTTACACTTTGGTAGAAATTTAAAGAATGACAGGCAAAGAAGAAGAAATAGAGCATTACACTCTAAATTATTAACTAAATGGAGCATGTCATATGTTTAAGTATTTCTTTGGTAATTATTCTAGGGGTTGTAGAATACAAAAGCAAAATGAATTATTTAAAAATTAATTGATCTCTAAGGAAAAAAAAAGAATCTTAAATCAATAGTTTGTCTTTTATTCAAATGTTTATTTTCTTCTTTGCTGTTTTTCTGTAATTATAAATTTTATCCTATAATCCTCTTTTTCTTTTTTTGTGGCTGGCCAGTTCAGGAATTGAACCCTAGACCTTGGTGTTATCAGCACCACACTCTAACCAACTGAGCTAACTGGCCAGCCCTGTTGTACAATCTTTTCATCCTACACTATAGTGTGAAGAAAATGTTTTCAAAGAGTTACCCTTCTCTCTGTGCTGAATCAATTGGTCTGTCTTCCCTGTGCTGTTCTGTGCAAATGGCTCAAGCTGAGTCAGGAGGAACATATTTGTGGACTTGAGTCCCTTGGAAACCCATAGTAGATATGTTACACTGCATAACAAGTAAAACAGCAACTTGACCACAGGCATTTTTATATGCCAACAAACTATTTAATAGTCCTTCCCACACTTAGCAGTGTCACAGCAATGAGGCATCTGATGGCCTCAAGCTAAAGAAGTATAGTGCCAGTGTCACTAGTCATGGATGATTTTTATCATTGTTTGCATATCCCATGTTTTGTACCAAGTTCTTTTAGGCCTGATAATACATGGATGCCTATGTATAATAATCTGATTAATTTATGGAAGCTCTTAAAGTTATACCTAGGTTGTGTCTCTGTAACGCAAAAACAATCCTTTTATTGGTCAGTTTATTGGGATGTACATTACAGACTAGCCAATGTTGTAAAAACTAGTGAATGAACTAGTTTTCTGGGTAAACACAGATATTACAATTTGTGGATCCATTCTCTTCTGTCATGTATTGTTTTGAAGGTACCTGTATTAGTCCATTTCCATTGCTTATAACAAAATACACAGAACTAGGTAATTTGTAAGAAAATGAAAGTTATTGCTTACATTTTCTGAGGCTGGGAAGTACAAGTCCAGGAAGCACATTTCATGAAGGCCTTGGTGGTGGCAGAGTATCACATGGAAAAATGGCAGAGCACAGAGACTAACCTCCTCATTCACTCTCCTTTGAAAGCCCTCCATGACCACCATTTTTGGTCCATTCACTATGACATGGTCCTATAATCTAATCACCTCTTCAAGGGCCCACCTTTCAATTACCATAATAGGATTTCCCACCTTCTTAACACTGTCACAGTGGGTCAAGTTTTGGCAGGTCACTCACTCCAAGGCATTCTGCATGTGGCTCTGCAAAACTCATATCTTCTCACATACAAATACATTTATTCCATCCTCAAAGTCCTAACTTGTTTCAACTCAAAAATTCAAAGTTCAAAGTCTCATCTGTGAAATCAGTCCAAGTTATCTACTGCTTGTGAGGGGTCTGGTGATCCAGCCTGGCATGTGAGAGATCGGGGACCCAGCCTGATATGTGAAAGGTTTGTGACCTAGTCTGTACAATGGGCTTGAGGGGTCTGTGAGCTCCAGACCCAGCCCTACCTCGACAATTGGCCCAGTAGGCAGGATTATGGGCAGGAAAAATAGCTCTACAACATGGATGCTGCCAAGGCTTCCAGCTTGTATTTTCCAAAGCTGTGGGTCCATCCACAGCTGGGGCCAATTTAGCCATGGCTGGAGCAGCCAAAGCAGCTGGGGTGCTGGTGTTGGATGCAGCTTCTCGAGGTGGCCCTGAGCAGCAAGGCTGTGGAGAGCACCTCAGGCCTGTTCCCCAAGACCTTTCTGTCTCCCTAGGTCTTTGTGTCTGTAATGGAAGTTGCAGCCTCCAAGATCTCTGAAATGCATGAAGACAGTTATAGCAATTGCAGAACATCTTATAGAGTATTATAGTAAACAAACAACATTTTAGCTGAGGATTCAAGACAAAGAAAAAGAGAGTTGGTGACAGAGTAGTGACAGCTCGTTCTCTAGCAGTACTTTTACACGAGTTCTCCTTGCTGAGATAGGGACAAAAATTAATTAATTATATTGATATTTTTGTTTTCTCAGCTTGAACAAATTAAGGTGCATTGGTACTGCCTCATATTGAGTGTTCTCCCAAAACTTGACCCCCACTGTGACAGTGCTAAGAGAGTAGGAAATCCTACTATGGTATTTGAAATGTGGGGCCTTCATATAAGGATCTGCTAAGCTTTACAATACATAATGACACATATACCAAAAACCAGAGATAAGGTTTTTGGAATTTACTAACAGTAATAGTGCTAAAACAATCCTTTAACTGTTCAATTCATTGGGATATACAATACAGACTAGCTAATGTTATTAAACTAGTGAATGAATGAAGATAGCACTTTTGGACCCATTTAATCCTCAGTTTTCTGTGATTAGTCTCTGAAAAACACTTCTAAGATTAATCAGTTTCCTGGTGGGAGATAAACTTTCAATTTTCTGAACAAATTCTTTCTGGGACATGAAATAAATTTATTTATCTATACTCCATTCCTTTACATATAGACTCTCCCCCAAAATCTACACCAAATTGATAAAATAGGGATCAAATTCAAGAAAAAGTAGAAATGTGAAGTTTTTCTACATATTAAGTCACTTGCTCTGATAGAGCTACAAATATAGCTTTGAGTTTTCTGACAGCAAGGATAACAAAGAAAACTTAGAGTTAATGAATTCTCATTACTGAAAAGAAAGAAATGCATCAAGAGAGAATTTTTCCTTCTACTAGTTGATGGAGAAATTTCTCATATGGGATTCACACTGAGCAATGCATTGAATAATATCAGCAATATTTTTACAAAAAGTAGGAGAGAATTTTATACAACTACCTCTTATAATAAATTCAAAGAAGCCTGAGAACACAAGTTTGAAGTTGAAGTTGGTGACAGATTTTTAAAGGAGATATACTTATGCGGTCATGTATGTATACTTCTACTGGTCCAGCTTGATCCAAAGGTAGAATTAAAGTACCTAGATTAGGGTTTGGATCCCTGTACTGGCCAGACAAAATAATATAAAGAAAGCACCTAGATGAGGAGTACAATGTTCCTTAGATAAACTT